CCTCCCAGGTGCTAACAGGATCTCTGTCTATTGCAGCAGAGGATGATCAGAGGATGGAACAAGGTGTGGAAGCTCATCAGCAAATCCCAGATAAAGTTAAAAATGAAGACCTGGAAGAAAACATCACGAATCGAGGAAGACCGATGAGAAAGAATGTCGCTCATATGGTTGAGAAGAGAGATGGAAGACCGCGTAATGTAGATAGTCCAAAGAGCAGGATAATAAAAGCAAGTAACTCCATTGAATGCTCAGAGTGTGGAAAGAGATTTGGTGTGAGGCGGAATCTTAAACAGCATCGCAGAACCAACGCAGGGAGGAAACCTTTTGAATATTCAGTGTGCGGAAAGAGATGCTGTGTGAGTGGGAATCTTCAAAAGCATCTGACAAACCACACAGGGAAGAAACCTTTCGGATGTTCAGCATGCAGAAAGAGATTCAGTTGGAGAGGCCATCTTCAACTTCATCGACGAATGCACAGAGGGGAGAAGCCTTTTGAATGCTCAGAGTGTGGAAAGAGATACAGTCAGAGAGGACATCTTCAATGGCATCAGAGAACCCACACAGGGGAGAAACCTTTTGAATGCTCAGAGTGTGGAAAGAGATTCAGTCACAGTAGCAATCTTCAAGTGCATCAGAGAACCCACACAGGGGAGAAACCTTTTGAATGCTCAGAGTGTGGAAAGAGATTCAGTCAGAGTGCCAATCTTCAATGGCATCAGAGAACCCACACAGGGGAGAAACCTTTTGAATGTTCAGAGTGTGGAAAGAGATTCAGTCATAATAGCGGTCTTCAAGTGCATCAGAGAACCCACACAGGGGAGAAACCTTTTGAATGCTCAGAGTGTGGGAAGAGATTCAGTCAGAGTACCAATCTTCAATGGCATCAGAGAACCCACACAGGGGAGAAACCTTTTGAATGCTCAGAGTGTGGAAAGAGATTCAGTCGGAGTGACCATCTTCAGGGGCATCAGAGAACCCATACAGGGGAGAAACCTTTTGAATGCTCAGAGTGTGGAAAGAGATTCAGTCACAATAACAATCTTCAAGTGCATCAGAGAACCCATACAGGGGAGAAACCTTTTGAATGCTCAGAGTGCGGAAAGAGATTCCGTTACAGTGGCCATCTTCAAGGGCATCGAAGAACCCACACAGGGGAGAAACCTTTTGAATGCCCAGAATGTGGAAAGCGATTCAGTCAGAGTAGCAGTCTTCAGCTGCATCAGAGAACCCACACAGCGGAGAAACCTTTTGAATGCTCAGAGTGTGGAAAGAGATTCAGTCACAGTAGCTATCTTCAAGTGCATCAGAGAACCCACACAGGGGAGAAACCTTTTGAATGCTCAGAGTGTGGAAAGAGATTCAGTGTGAGTAGCAGTCTTCAACTGCATCAGAGAACCCACACAGGGGAGAAACCTTTTGAATGCTCAGAGTGTGGAAAGAGATTCAGTCACAGTAGCTATCTTCAAGTGCATCAGAGAACCCACACAGGGGAGAAACCTTTTGAATGCTCAGAGTGTGGAAAGAGATTCAGTCACCGTGGCAATCTTCAATGGCATCAGAGAACCCACACAGGGGAGAAACCTTTTGAATGCCCAGAATGTGGAAAGCGATTCAGTCAGAGTAGCAGTCTTCAGCTGCATCAGAGAACCCACACAGCGGAGAAACCTTTTGAATGCTCAGAGTGTGGAAAGAGATTCAGTCACAGTAGCTATCTTCAAGTGCATCAGAGAACCCACACAGGGGAGAAACCTTTTGAATGCTCAGAGTGTGGAAAGAGATTCAGTCACCGTAGCAGTCTTCAAGTGCATCAGAGAAGTTCCGGTCACGGCGGCGCGAATGGCGACCGGTTCTTGGGACGCTCCCGGAGCCAGATCGCCCACGCGCAGTTTGGGGGGGGGTCCAGCGTAAGTGGAGATCCTAAGGAGCCTCAGTGAAAAGGCTCCGAACCAGGGGGCACTTAGGGGAGAAGCCTCTTGCCGGCCAGAAGGTCGGGAATTGAGGCTCTCCCTCTGCCCCAACAGCCCCGGCTGCGACATGCCCCGAATGGGGCTTAGCAACGCCACCAGAATAGCAGAGTGATGGAGCGCTAAAGTAAAGACAGAAGCAACGAGAAAAGCTATGAACTGTAAGTTGGAGATTTGAAGCGGCGGCATAAGTGTGCTTTTCCCCCAGGGGAGGCGGTAGAGGGAGGGAGGATCCCCCCCCCGAGAAAAGAGACTTGTTTAAAAAAGAAGAGGGGGAGAAGCGAAAATTGGTAAAAGCGCATTACCTTTTGGGAGGGAGAAGAAAGCGGCGAGGAGGGAGGTATCCCCGAGAGGTGCAGCACGAACATTTAAAATATAAACAAAAGGAAAACATGGCGGGGCAGAGAAAACTTTTAGAGAAGTAGACAAAGAAGACAGGAGGGGCTTCCTGTCCAAGCCCTTCCCCTGCTGGAACTGCTGTCAGTCAACAAGAAGGTCGCCCACCATCTGCTGGAAGAACTGCAAAAAATCAATCAGAAGCTGGATTGTATGGATAATGCCTACAGTTTGCCACAGAGAAAAATGACTGAGACAGCCGACAAGGTGGATGAAATCGCAAAGAAATGTTTGGCATCAACAGAAGAAATACAGCAAGTTAAGAAGAAAATCATTAAAGTGGAGAAACATCAAGAAAAACAGGAGAATAAACTGTTACTGCTTCAAATGGAGAAAGCAAATTTGACTCTTCGATTTCAAGGGTTGAAAGAAGAGGAAAGAGAGGATATCACAGACATTTTGGCAACAGCTTTGGCACCGCTAACTGGCAATGAAGCAGAAAAAATAAAAGATGAGATGGATTTGGCTTATAGAACCTACTCCATCTTCACAAAGAAAAATTATTCGCCAGCAGAAGTGGTGATGAAATTTACAAAGCAACGTCTCCGAGAT